CCTTTAGTTCTGTTTTAAAATGTTTTATTTTTTCTTTATTTGGGTTTAAATTTTGCTTTTCAGATTCTATTTTTCTTTCGAGATAAAGTTTTTTTTGAAGTTTTTCTTTTTGTTTTATGGAGGAAATGTCAATTGCTGCGGATTTAATATGATATTTAACTATGTCCCACCATTGGTTATTGTTTTCATATAGACCTTTTTCTTTTTTTATTTTTTCAAAATCATTTTTAAGATACTCCTTAAATTGTATATCAGCAAGGAGATTTGTGTTTAGATGCCAGTATCCTGGACCTCTTTCATTATGCGTTTCCGTAAAATATTGGCATAGCAATGCTCGATGGTCACTTAGTTTCGGGTCTATAAGTTTGATTTTTATTTGGGCTTTTTTGTTAAATGAACTGTAAATTCGATCAATTCGACTCCTATAGGATTTATCTTTCTTTTCAAAAGTGTAGTCTTTTTTAGTAGGATTTGTCTTTCGAAAAAGATCTTTTATGTTGTGGTTCTCAGTAAAATTGTTTAAATTAAACTTTCCCAAGGTATTGTTTTTATTTAGCTGGTCCCCTCCATCTCTATCAAGGATTGGGTTTTCGACCATGTTAAAATCTCCAACAAGAAAAAGTAGATTAGAGTTTTTAACATGTTTATTTAATGATCCGAAGAAAAATTCTTTTTCCTGAGGGTCGTTAGGGCCATAAATATTTATTATCCTTATATACATTTTTTTGAGTCTAATATTTGCTGCTAAGATCCTTCCATTTTGGTCTAGGGATACTTCACTAAAAAGGTTTTTATATTTGCTAAGTATTGCTACTCCGCGTTCTCTTGCGTTGCCGTTGTTCCATATTGCATTACCACCACTTTTGTCTTTCCATTCTTTTGTCCAAAGGTTTTGTTTTTCTATCGTACAGTGTGTTTCTTGCATACATATTATGTCACAGTCTACATGTAAAAAGAAATTCATAACGCTGTGTCTTTTACAATCATTATTCAAACCGTTTACATTGAAAGTAATAATTTTGATCGCCATGATTAAAACGCATAATTACTTATTTTTATTATTATTATTTATTTGTTTGTTTGTTTTTTTGTTTTTTTTTTTGTTTTTGAGATTTTTTATTTTTATTGGTTTTTAAATTTTTTTATTTTTATTTGGTTTTATTTTTATATATTTTTGACTTATCTAGACCTCGCGGGTCGTATTTGGAAAGATCCCCTCATTGATAATGCGAGGCATATCGTTGTTTGCTTTTTTGTATTCTTGTATATGTATATTTTTTTCATCTTTTTTTCTTTTATTGTTTTTTACAAGTGTATATGGATCTTCCATTGCATCATTTGTTTGGTCCTCTTCATTACTTTTGTTTGCTTTTGATTGGTCTATTGTTTTATTTGGAGCATTTTCACTATTTTTATTTGGATTTACATTAATATTTTGGGAATGGATGTCCTTTTCAATTTTCTTGCTTTTGTAGGAGGCCTCTTTCGTAGATTCTCTAAGAGTGTTCTCTACAGGTATGATTATGGGAGACAACGGAGTTAAATTTTCGATATTGTTTAGTTTTGTTTCTACAATACTATCTTGTTTTTTTTCGGGTATAGTATTAGTGTTTGGTTTTGAGTTGTTTTCTTGACCAGTATAAATAGCCCTCACCCTATGCCCTTGAATGCGAATGTTTCTTGGTATAGGTTTAACGAGGCAGTCAAGAACGACAATAAGTGTTCCTGTAAAATACTTTGTTCTCTTTGTTGGGGTCGTTTTAATTAGTGGTCTTGTGTAAACATGTTTTCCATAGCCCAAATCTTCAAGATCTTTTCCAACTTGGGTGTTTTCATATTCAAGAGGTAAACCTATAAGTGAAACTGTTACACTATGACTTATTTCTCTGTTTGGGGATGATTTGAAAAAAACATGGTGTATATTATTTATACTTAGTCCTTTTTCTAAAATTGTGTTTTTTGTTTTGTTTGATTTAAAGGTTAATTCAAGTATTGTATTTTCTTTAATCAACTGGGCTCCAGCTATTCCTTCGTCTAGGTTATCTCTCTCTAATGCAATTAGAATATCATTAATAGGGGTAATGGTGGCTAATTTACATAGCAGTGTATTGTTAAGTTGTTTTAGCTTTGGTTGTGAGGTATTGTGGTCTTTTTTTGTCATTTGAGCATATGTTGCTTTTGGGACAACAGGCTGTTCGTCATCACAACTATTTTGACACACCCCTTGTTGTTCTGCGGTCATGTCATGATCAAAAAACTCAAGATTTTGGTCTTCCAATTCTTGAAATTGCATGGCAGAACGATTAAATTTTTAGGCCGTGGATAGTGCACGGAAATTAATTTAATAACTATACTAGTCTATACTAAAACGTCAGTAGACCTAAATTAAGTAAAATACACGTAGGTATTTTTTATATTTGAAAGCTGTCTCACTCTAAAACCGGTACCCGATCTTAGCCATTAGGCCGAGAAGCGATAACTGACCACTGCAGACATAGTCGGACAGACGCCGTCTTCAACAATGCACTTGTGGTTTGCATTAGTACGTCAAATCATTTTTGTCGTCGTCATCATCAGCAGCATCATCATCAGCAGCAGCTGAGACCATCGGCGATGTTAGACACTCTAAATGTCAAAAAATTTCAATTATTTTCATTCTGGGCCGCGCTCAGCAGTAGTGCAAAGCCGAGGCAACCCGTGGTCAGGGCAAGGTAAACCTATGATCCCATGACCTAATGCCAAAAATCAGATTAATATATGAGCCGGACTGTGCCGGCGTACCAGATATTAAACTGATAAGAACAGATACTTTTTTTTTTTTTTTTTTTTTTCCATCAACTAGAGTCACCTGAAGCTGATGCCAGGCTTACACAGGGCCCCAGAAGAAGGGTTTGTTTATGTTTTTTCAAGAAGCCTAAGCTCCTTGTTTTGCCCATTTAAGGGTTTTAATTATAGCTATCTAGCCGAAACTAGTAAGCGTTATTTTAAAGAATTGTTTAAAGTTATTTATTCTGTTTTTAGCATAATTTTATAATTTTTATTTGATTTTAATAAATTTTATATTTTTTTTGGATATTTTTTAGTTTTATATTTTTGTTTTATTTTAATTATTTTAGGTTTATTTTATTGGTCGAAAAGAGTCTAATACCATTCGTCCCGGTTATTTGTAATGTTTTTCGGCCTTTCATTTTTATTTGGTCTAGCCCCTTCTATTGCTTTTTGCCTTGCAAGTTTTTCTTCCTCATATGCTTTTCGTCTTGCTCTTTTTTCTTCTTCATAACCTTGCCGTCTTTCAATTTTTTCTTTTTCGAATTCTGCTCTCCGATACCGAACGTATATTTTTAAGTCCTCTTCGGAGCAATTATTTTTATTAAAACCGTAAAATAGGTTTAGATTGTAATTGTGTATTTCGGTGGAAGTCATATTTTCAAATTCGATTGGGAGTTTAACTCCAGAAACATCAATTTCTTTTCGTTCATGTTCTGATCTTGTGATAGGTTTGTTTTCTACGCTACAGTTTTGTGTCATTTGTTCATTTTGTATTACTTCAGCTGGTTTATTTATTACTTGCTCCATTTCCACTTTATTGTTAGTTTCTGGTAAGGGGATTTCAAAACTGTTGGTTATATTTGTTATAATTGGCGTTAGTTTTAATTTTTTGCTACTTGTTGGTGGAAAATCTTCTTCTATTTCATCTAGACTGTCTTCTTTTCTAAACACGTCTTTTTCACTCTCTTTTTTAATTTCATTACTATCATCTATATTCTTTACTATACTGACAATCTTATCATCATCGTCTTTATTTTCTATATCGTCGTCTTCTTCGTTTTCTTTTGGTTTACTTTCGTCTCTTGTACTCTCATCGCTATATTCCTCACTGCTACTTTCATCATAATTCTCTTCGCTTTCTCCAGCCTCCTTATCCTCAACCTTAGCTTCACTCCTACTATCTTTACTTAAATCTTCATTATTTTTATTTTTTTTGTTTTCTTTATCCTCAATTTCCATTGTAAGTTCATCGTTCGTATGATCTTGGATTAGTTCTGATGTTACTTCTAAGGATGAAATACTTGGTGTTTGGACTTTATTATTAAGACTAATATTGTTATAATTATTGTCAACTAATGGTAAAACCAAAGTTGCATCACTAGTTGGATCGCTTGTACAGTTACTAACTTTAACCTGATTTGTTTTACTTTCTTTCTTTTGGTTTCCATCATCTTTCTGTCCGGTGTAAATAGCCCTAACTTCATAGCCTTTAAGGTTTATGAATCTAGGGATTGGTTTAATTAAGTTGTCCATTACTACAACTAATATGCCAGAGTAGAAGAGCGTTTTGTTTTTCGGTGTTCGTTTTAGCATGGGTTTAGTCCTAATATGTTTGCCGTACCCTAGTTCCTCCAAAACCTTACCGGCAGGAAAATTACACTTCTCTATTGGCAGTCCAAGAATGGATATCGTTACCCTTTTACTAATGTTTCTACTAGGGGTTGATTGGTAAAATTGGTGTAATTCACCATTTATATTAATTCCTTTATCGAGGATTGTGTGCTTGACTTTGTCATTTGTCATAACAAGTTCAATAAAAGAGCCGTTACGAATTTGTTGAAAACCGTAAAGATATTTATCGTACCCAGCATCTTCAATAGCTAATAAGATATCTCTATCGTTAAGTTTCGTAGTTACTTTACTTAAAAGCGTATTTTTAAGCAAACTATACTCGTCTGCGGTATTATTAGTTGTTGCAGTATGTGTATCGATTTTACTTGCAACTTGTGCATAAGTTTTAACTACGGCTGTACCAGCCGCGTTTGTAGTATCTATTTCCATGGTTGTATTAGGATCTACTCGTAGCATGGTGAATAGTACTACTAGTATAATAAAAACTCTCAGTCACTCTAGAGGCCAGTAGACCCCTAAAAGAGGTCTAACCAACCTCTTTATACTCACAATCACTCTATTAGCACACTGAGATCTACGATCTCAATAACCTCTCAGTCACTCAATATTCACTAAAAGCCAGTAGACTTTTATAACACTCAACCTTGCAACCCGTGGAAGGGGCAAGGTAAAACTCACAAAACTCTCAGAAGGTCTGTAGACCTTCTTTTATACTAGTTAGGATCTCTAGCTCGCCCAAATGGACTAAAATCAAGAACAGATACTACACTTGATCTTAGCCATTAGGCCGAGAAGCGATAACTGACCACTGCAGACATAGTCGGACAGACGCCGTCTTCAACAATGTACTTGTGGTTTGCATTAGTACGTCAAATCATTTTTGTCATCGTCATCATCAGCAGCATCATCATCAGCAGCAGCTGAGACCATCGGCGATGTTAGACACTCTAAATGTCAAAAAATTTCAATTATTTTCATTCTGGGCCGCGCTCAGCAGTAGTGCAAAGCCGAGGCAACCCGTGGTCAGGGCAAGGTAAACCTATGATCCCATGACCTAATGCCAAAAATCAGATTAATATATGAGCCGGACTGTGCCGGCGTACCAGATATTAAACTGTTAAGAACAGATACTTTTTTTTTTTTTTTTTTTTTTTTTTTTTTTTTTTTTTTTTTAAGATATATACATATATTTCGTTATAAAGTAATTACAACACGGGACTATTTACAAAGAGGGGGGAAATTGTATTTAAAATAGTATGTATTTCAGACTTTTTTTGTTTCTGTTATTTTGTTTTTGTTATTTATATTTATTTAACTTAATCAGCTGTTGTGGTTGTATATAAAACGAAAAACGAAAACGAAAAAACGAAAAAGTTTGAAATGAACCACAACAGGTTTTCCGTATATAGAAAATAGTTATAAAATAAAACATAAAGTTTCCAAGTTTAAAATATATATGTCTGGCTATTACCCCAGACGGTTATAATCAATACACACATCCATCATTGCCACCGGGCTTTGCAGGACATGTTCGTTTTTTATATTTTCGTAATGTTTAAAAAATATAGTGCTGGCCATTAAGCCTCGCATTTAAAAAATAAAAGCCTGCCCGTCGCACCCACAGGGGCTGCTGGGGGCATGCGTTTCGTGAATAATATAAATAACATAATCTCAAAGTCATGGCTGAAGACCCCATTCTATAACAGGAAATTTAAGTTGCCGTTAGAGTTTTCACTAATGGCACTGTTAATTGAAAATATTTCGTGGAATTTTTCCACATTGTTTTGTCTCAAAAATTTGTTATAATTTATTTGCCATATTTTTCTAATTTCTTTTTTAATTACCTCAACAATTCTTGCAGAGGGTATGGTTTTGTTTTCTTTAACTTTCATATTTCTAGCCCACCATAACTTTGAAGTTATTACGTGAGTTAGGGTAGTAATTATTTTAGCAGTGTAGTCCTTTCTAGACAAATGGTCTATATTTGTCAGAAATACCGCACGGACCAAATTAAAGTTTTGCTCTGTTAGAAGCTTTTCGTATGTGTTTTTGAAAGCCTTCCACACCGATCTGGCTTTCTTGCAATTGATGAAGGGGTGTAACGTGTTTTCCACTGCATCGCAGGTTTTGCAATTAGCGTTTCCCCGTCCTCTGTTCTTCCTCCAACTCTGAATTTTTTCGAGTGTTGGAAGCGAATTTGTCAAAATTCTCCAGAGGACGTTTTTGCTGGGTCCGCTGGCATAGGAGTTAAAACTTCTCTCCCATATTTTTTTCCACACAAGAGATTTTTGAAGCTTTGCATCCCATGCCATTTGTAGTTTTAGGATGTTTGAGTTTTCGTCAAACTTGTTGACGAGCGTATATATATTTTTAGAGTTTTTGGATTTTAATTCAAAAATTTTATCATTACTTTTAATGGTCTCAACAACATCTTTGTAATAAAAAGGAATATCATTAATTGCTTTTGGAAAGTTGTTTCTCGTAAGAAACAACCATTGTGGGTGTTTTGTCCTTGCCCTTTTAGTTAGATGGTGGGCTAGATAGTAGTTTTGGATAAAGCAAGACTCGTGAGAGTTTTCTTGTTCCTTTATCAAAAACATGTGTTTGGTTCTGAGGGCTAAGCATTGCTTTTTGGTGTCAAGAATGCCTAGTCCTCCTTTTTCAACGGGTAGGTTTAGGATGTCATATTTCAAGGGTTGCGCGTAGTCGCTTTGCCAAAGGTATGCGGATATTTCTTTTTTTATCTGTTTTGTGGTTATTTCGTTGATTGGGAAACTGTTAGCCACGAACCATACCTTTGAGAGTGCAAGCGTGTTTACAAATACACCTTTGCATCTCAAAGATATGTTTCGGTATTTAAAATTTTGAACTTTTTTCCTAAAGCTTTCAACGGCTTTCTTCCAATTTACGCTAGCGGTGTAAGCAAGGTCGGTGTGGAAGGTTATGCCTAGAATTTTGATGCCTGTAGCGTTGCACCAGTTAATGTTAAAACATTTTTGTTTCAACAATCTGGCTGTGTTTTCGTAGTGGATGTAATTGAAACCACCCAACGCCAGGCCTTTAGTTTTATTTTTGTTTATGTTTGATCCTGAGGCTTCTTCGAAGTTGTCCAGCGTTTCGAAAACGCTTTCGATCGACTTCGGGTTCCTCAGGAACATCGTGGTGTCATCCGCATATTGCGAGACTTTCAGTTTGTTTTTTGTTCCTGGAAGAGGAATGCCGTCCACATCAGGATTATTCCTGATGTCGAGGGCCAGCGACTCCACCGCCAGGCAGTAAAGCATGAGGGATATCGGGTCTCCCTGACGAACCCCTCTGCTTATACTGAACGGTTTGCTCATGTAGCCGTTATTTAAAATGATTGATTGCGTGTTTTTCATTGTTTGTTCTATGGCGGTAATAAATTTTTCGCCTAAGTTAAATTTTTTTAGTGTTTTGACCAGGAAATTCCTGTCAATTTTATCGAAGGCTTTTTCCTGGTCAATTGTCATCAGTACACTATCGATATTTTTCTCGTTAGTGTATTGTATTAGGTCTCTAACCAGACAGATGTTCGAGAATATATTTCGTCCCGGTACCGAGCACGTTTGCGAAGGACCGAGGATAGAGTTGAGTACCTTTGATAGCCTCAAGGCGAGGGCTTTTGTGGCTATTTTATAGTCCGCGCACAGCAAGGATATCGGTCGCCAGTTCTCCAGCGCCGTTAAGTCCCCGTCCTTAGGGAGGAGACTTATAAGCGCCGTCCTCTGGGTCCATGACAGCTCGTTGTTCACTTCGAAGACACTAGCGTTCATAAGAACGGTAAGTTCTTCGCCGTAAATATCCCAGCATTCTTGATAGAATTCTGCGGGGAGGCCGTCTATCCCTGGTGTTTTGCCTTTGTTTAAAGACATGGCTGCGTTTAAAAGCTCCTCACTGCTAAATGGGATGTTTAGAAACGCATTTTGATCATCAGAAAGTGATTTAGTAATGTTTTTTAAAAATTGGTTTTGCTTTTCTAAATTTAGGTGTTTTTTTTTTGTACAAATTTTTGTAATATTTTCTAATTGTTTCAATTATTTTGGTAGTGTCCGTTTGGATGACGTTGCCGTCTTTAATTTGGTTTATGACTTTTTTCTTTTGGTTATTTTTTTCCATTTGAAAGAGAACTTTAGAGGGTTTTTCGCCTTCCTCTGCTAGGGTTTGTTTCGTTCGTACAAAGACGCCCCCATCGCAGAGGAGTTCTTGAAGTTCTAACCTTAGGTCTTCAAGTTTTGCCAAGTCTTTTCCTGGCTTTTGGTTTTCAATTTCAATTTGTTCTCGAATATTTTTTTGTTTTAATTTTAGTTCACGCTTTTTTTTTTTGGAAGTTTCCATAGCAATCAATTTTATGCGGGTTTTTGTAATATCCCACCATTGATTGCTGTTGGTATAACTATTTTTTTTGTTTTTTTGTTTTTCAAAATCGCTTTTTAATTTCGCTTTAAAAGCCTGGTCGCTTAGTAGAGTAGCATTGAGGTGCCAGTAGCCCGGGCCTCTCTCACTCTTGTTATCGAGTTTTAGAGTACAGCCAAACGCTCTGTGATCACTCAGTTTGCTCTCTATTATTGCGCATTCACAGTTCTTTGAGACCATTAAAGGAACATATACTCTATCAATTCTACTTTTGAAACTTTTGTCTGGTTTTTCATAGGTAAAGTCAACTTTGTATGGGTTACTCCTGCGAAATACATCAACCAAAGTAAACTTTTCGCAAAAGCATCCCAAGTTGGCTTTACCTAGACTATTATTTTTATTAAAAAGATCTCCTCCTTCCCTGTCTAGTTGGGGATTTTCAACCATGTTAAAATCACCCGCGAGGATCAAATAATCCGATCCTCGCGCATGCTTCTTAATCTGTTTAAAAAAATTTTCCTTATGTTGCGGATCATTTGGTCCGTATATATTGATTATTCTTATTATTGAATTTTTAAAATTAAAATTGGCAGCAAGAATTCTCCCACTGTCGTCTTGTGTAATTTCATTAAATATTTGTTCACTTTTGGTTAGAATGGCAACACCCCGCTCTTTTTGGTTTCCGTTATTCCAAATAGAGCTACCATTTGTTTGATGTTTCCATTCTATATTCCATTTGTTATTGCTTTCTTCCGTACTATGCGTTTCTTGTAAACATATCACGTCATAGTCCGAATTTTTTAGGAATCGAAAAATTTTGTTGCGTTTGGTCTCAGTTTGGAGCCCATTTACGTTCAGCGTTAGAATTCTTACTTCCATTTTTTAAAAGAGAAAGAAAAAAAATTTTTTTTTGAATTCTATTTAAAAAGGAGAATCTTATTGAGAATTAAGATTTAAAAACTTAGGTTTAGTTTTAATAAACAAAAGCCGTAAACATAAATAATAATAAGTAACAATTCTCACCGCCATCCGTGTCGTTCTTTTTTCTTTTTATTTTTCGTTTTCCGTTTTGCTCCTGTTCCTACTTTTGCCTCGAGTTGGTTTTTTCTCTTTCGGTTTGTTTCTTGTCCTGAGCCGCCATCGTCGCAAATATTATCTTCTTCGATAGAATCGTCTTCTTCATTTGATGCATCGTCGTTCATGCATTGGTCATTAAGGTTTTGATGCTCACAATCGGTTTTTAAGTCTTCGGTGGACGCATTTTCGGATGGTGGATTTGGTGGGTCAGGGAAGATCGAAAGGGTTGCTATTGGTTGGGTGGTTATTGGTATTTCCGACATTGCTGTTGGTGTTTCAGATGTTGATGGTGTTGTTTCAACGATGATTTCGGCAGGTTTTTGGATTGTTGCTTCGGTTGGTTGGTTG